GCCTCCCAACCGACCGTAATAATTGTCTAACAGCCGTGCAATGCTTGTTTCCGGGGGTCGGAATACATCATCCCTCTTCTCCGATAAGTTGTGCTTTAGTAGCAAAAACTAGATTATATTCAATAAAACACACATACACGCGCGTGTGTGTATGAGTATTTGTATATGTATGATACAATAAATGTGATTAAAAAAAAATTAGTTATTTTTATTTTCAATTTTTTATTAAGTACTGGTTTGTTTTAACTTGTGACTATGTTTCATTTTTCAATTATAAGTATTCTAAACTAACAATATACCACTACGGTTTGTGTAAAAGGTCGTATTTAACAATTTTATAAGTTTATTATCTTTGCGCTAAAGGTGACTTCTTCTAGTGCTTTATCTAAATAGGACAATAACAGAGGAAAATAAAACATGAAATTGTACTAATAAATAATAAAGGAATTATCGGTTTTTATGATTTTCTGGAGTCTGTTATGAATTCCAAAAAAACACAGACCATAAAGGAAAAACAACTAAAAAATTTTGAAGGCCCTCAAGGTAATCAAAATGTTGTCCATCATTTTGAATGTTGCCTTATGAAAACACATGAGAGTTATTTGCCTTAATTAGAAAAGCTCCCTTAACAGTTGACTACTTGGATTTTTTTTTATATACACTACAAACCTAGTATAAAAAATATCTGGTGTGTCCACTCACACGACTTTCCTACCTATTTCAGAAAAGTTTTTATATCTTTACATATGTTCATGAAGAAACAAAAAAGAATTGAAATAGATTTATTTTCCTGAAAATTTATCAAACAAAAGATTTGAATACGATTTATTGGATAAACTAGAGCAATGTAAAGCGTCAGTGTAAAAATTTCAATACTTCCTAATATTGCTGATCAAAAACTTTTTGCCATAGCTTAGTATTGTCAAATAATAATTTTTGTTAAAAATAGAGAAAATGGTGAAGATTGTGTGATGCGGGCAACAGATTTTCTTACTTTCACTTAGTCATCTTTATTCTCTCATTTCTGACACCAGGATATGAGCCCGTAATCTGACATTGCAAATTGAATAGCTGTAACTTCGTTAATAGTTGTCCAAATGAACGATTTTTATATGGATTTGTAGGGAATTTCTTTACCTTTCAAACGACACGTTTTTCGGAAATTAGACCCGATTACAACACTTTCCTTACCTAGTATAGGTAGGAAAGTAAAAAAAAAAAAGATAGCAGACCTCGAAGCCTACAAAAAAAGTTTATACAAACAATGGTCTGATTTTCTGTAGGAAAACAAGATATTTCTAGTTATGTGCTTCTTTAAGTTGTTACATCTCGTCTTGATTAGGATGCGATAACTAAATAAATATTAAAGTGACGTAATTAAATTTGCTTCTTAAGAAACTAGACAAACTTTTCTTCAAATTCAAGTTGTGTAAGTCCTTGTTAAAATCATTTAAAGCGGCCAAACTGCGCTAAGTTCTGTTTTTGTTTTTTTTTTCAGAAAATCGTGGACTATTCGAAATAATCAAATTTAAAACAAGAGCGGTTTGAATAAGAACGTAAGTTGACTCCTACTGGATAACAGTACTATATTCGTATCTATCAACCAATTACACCTACCAATATAATAGAATCATTCATGTGTTTTCAAGAAACAGCTTCATTCTAAATCGGTTTTTCAAATAAACAGTTCTATTTTAGCAACCGGATCTACATTCGCACTTCACAACATTATTATCCAGAAATGGTTTGGTGGTGCTTTGACTGTTGTTTATAATTCTGACTTAAAATACACGTATTTCATACTGAAAAATGTCATGTTTAAAAAACGCTGCAAATTATTATTAATTCCAGACAATTATATATCAAAAGTAACATCATTTTCCTTGTAACATAAGAAAAAATAAAATAAAATGTGATTTCTAATATTTCCCAAAATAATTTTTTGTTTCATCATTAGTAACTTTCCAAGAAAAAAGAACACATTGCTTCAGTTGATGTAACACTTTCATGATATTAAAAACCAAAACAAAGGAAATAAGCTTTGCAGTAGAACATATGAAAAATATTTTTAAATGCATGCATGCTTTGTCTATTTAATTAGCTGATAAAAACTCGTAAATAACCATTTGCTTTCCAGTTCATTCGTAAAATAACTTGAGCACAAAGTCGAGAAAAAAGGTGGCCTTCAAAAATATTGAGCCGTTTGGCTTATATTGCCTTTTTATTTTGATAATTTTGGGGTTGTAGGTCATGCTAAAAGGCCCAATATTTCTGAAGGCCACTTTTTTTCTCGACTTTGTACCCAAATGACCTTACGATTAAACGAGAGAGCAAATGAGTATTTACGAGTTTTTAGCACCTAATAAAATAGAAAAAGTTTGCCGACCTCCGTATTGAAAACGTTCCAATTCCGAGAATTTCCGTAAATAAAATGTTTTTAGGTTTCGATGAGATGAAGCTATTTACGAAGTTTTAGCCGGATGTTAATAATTCGATACAATATCTTTGCACCAAATTGTCCGATTTAAACGATTTTTATTATATATATTTTTTTAGATAATTTATAAACTTTTAAATGACCAGTATGAAGTATGCTCTATACATATATTTGAAGGGCATCGAAGAGAAGATTTTAGCCAAAATTGAAATCGGTACATTCGTTCAGGGGCTACAGTCTACAACATAATTTTTCAGTCGCCATCTTGAAAGGAAACCGCGGATAGTAGTCTCGGAGAACTACCGGTCGGACGGCGAACAGACCATTTTTTAAATTAGATTTTCGAGTTCTACTTATCCTGATTACTACTGTTTTTTTATTTGTTTTGTTATTACTATTTTTTTTTTTTATGGTATCATTTATTCTCCTTGATATCATATTTGCTGAATACCGAGGTAGGTGGCAAATTTATTGTGAGCCAGGAATATGTGTAACTAATAAATAAATGGTATTTTCGTTAAACTAATCTATATTTAAGATGAATTAAATTGGACATCTAATACAGGAGCTTTGACCACCCTTTCAGTTCTTTTTGTCCTAAGTAAAGCGTGTGTTCGACGGTAATCATGAGACATCCATCGGGTGATATGGACTTGGAGAGCAGCCAACCATGAGCCAGTTAACACGAGAAGAGTATCGGGCTGCTCGGTGCTCATTTGGAACATCCGGACAGAGGGAGCTGCCGTGCCTGCGAAGTATCAGAGCGCTGATTGCCAGGTCGGGAAATGATAGTCATCTTGTCTGTCGGATAGGCAGCAGCTCGGTAACAAGCCAGGGCAGGAAATTAATATGATTGGCTCTTCGCTCACGAATCTTCGCAGAGTAATGGGGGTCGGGCTGGGCCTTGCACGGATATAGCCCGCTCATATCGACGTCTTCTCTCGCCTTCACGAATATCTCTTCCATGGCAGCCATCAGTCTGCTCGGCTTGGCTATCTTAACGATAGTCAGCCTTTTAATGGCAGAATATTTTTATTATCATTATAATTACTTTATTAAGGTTAAACATAACATAATTATAGAACAGTCAAATTAGACATTTTACATTGCAAAAGGTCGGGTAATTTAATTTTTTTTTTTATATTATTACTTTCCTACCTATACTAGGTAATGAAAGTATTGCAATCGGGTCAAATTTCCGATATGCGGTTTCCGACGGATCTATACGTTTCAGAGCTAATGAAAGCGTCAGGGATTGCGAAAAGGGATTCAGACTTTCCGGCGTTGTTTTTGTTATTTAGAACTTAAGGGTGTAAAAATCCGACGTCATCAACGCCAATTTTATTTCGATAATAAATTATTATGGAAAAAAAAATTATTTTCCGACGTATTTCCCAGATTAATTATAATACACGAAGTTACCATACTTCCTTAAAAGCAAATAAAAATAGTAAAATAAACAAATTTTACTGTCCAATATATTTACCAAGATGTGGAACTCAATAGTTTTTATTCTTGAACATTATATATATATATATATATATATATATATATATATATATATATATATATTATTTATAACATTAAAATACTGAATGAAGAGCCTATAATGTTTTTTAGGGCTTGCCATTTGAAGAATAAACGCGTAAATAAAGCAATATATATTTTTTTTCTCATTTTAAAATAGGTCAAATTCATGAGAAAAATGAATTAGTAAAAAAATTTTCATTCTTTTATTCATTACTTCCTATATATTTATACTTACCAATATTTATAATTTATTTTAATCATGTAAATACTTCTTAATATTAAATACTTTGTATTGTATAATAAAAAAAAATACTTGTACCACTAGAAATCAAACTTTATAGTAGCTGAGTGTGCAATCAGGAGTTTCTACCGACCCCAGAGTCTAATACTGACGAAACAGAACAAATAATGATCAGATGGATTAAAACCCGGGACAGCTTTGGAAATCAATACCCTACTCACTGAACTAGCCTTTTAGTATTGTATAATAGGTAGAATGTATTTGAGATTAAATTTCTAAGTTTGAAACTTTGTATTTTTAAAGAACGAAATGTATTTTATAATTTAGAGAAAACTTATATCCAAATTTTATGTCATCAGATAATAATTAAGTAAATCAAGTAACAATTTATTATTTTTTTAATTATTCGACTAGTGGTCATCAGTTTCTACAATTAAATTATTGAATTTGTATTTCGCTATATACATTGCTATATAATTTATAATTTAGGTATATTTTAGAACAAAAAAATTATGTAATTTTTTTTTCAAACAATTTAGGTATATTTTAGAACCAAAATTTTATATAATTTTTTTTTTCCACACAATTTATAGAATTTTTTTTCCAGAAAATGTTGTTGAAGTTTGTTTTATAGTATCTTACTATTTCATAGTATCTTACAAACTTCAACAGAAAGATGAATCTGAGGAACTATAAATTTATTATTGTATTAAAAACTTTTTTAAGTTTAATAAATATACAATATTACAACCTACAAGGACAATATCAATCTAGGTGACATAGATAGATAAAGTAATACAGAAGAATTCACTATACATAAATAATCTTTTATTAATAAAAACTATACATAATTACAATAAATAGTTATATATACAAGTCCTTGTGTTATTGTACGTATTATATGCCTCTGCAAATTGTCACTTATTCAGACCTAGAAAAAAAAATAAAAGAACTAATAAATAAAAATAAAAATATTTTTTCTTTATTCAAAGAATTTATTAATTAATAGAATTCAACTCAATTGAAAAAATAATAATAATCAAATTTTAATGTACGTCATTTAAAAAAAAAAAAGTATATGGCTTATACTAACATGTTTTCAAGTCAATAAAATATATTAATTTATTTTTAAATTTCAGTTTATATTACTTATTGTGTGAGGAAGATGTGTGATATTTTATATAATAGATATTTATGTAAATGTTCATTTCCATTTCAATTTCTTTATGTATTTTATACCCTTCTTGACCCTATCTGCACTATTTATATCTAATATTTTTATTGAACTATTTTTATTGCACTATTTATAATCTAATAGTTTATTGAAGAAGAAATTTAGGCAAGGTGAAAGGTTCCTAATTCAAGTAGGAATTTAAGATTTTTTGCCAAAATTTAATGATATGGAAGCTGTGGACTCAATGGGTAATATACGATATGAAATATAGTAGATAAAGTTATTAAATAATTACTAATGTGGTAAAGGTAATCAATTTTAATTATTTATTAATTGTTAATCCAGATGATAGAGGAAATGTCGAAAAAGTCATGTGAAGTTAATAAATAAATTGTAACAGTAAGAGACTCCATTCACATTAATAACCATGAATTAAATTATGGCTATTAATGTGAAATTAAAAATAAATATAAGTCAAAATAGTAATGAATATAAAACTGACGTTTTTTTTCCAGTTTTGTCCTTTTTTTAAATGCCATTTTACAATTATTTGCTTATAGTTCAATCTAATAAATTATCGCACTTGACTTTTGATTATTATTTATTCTCTTCCTCTTCGACACATAATATGACCCAAAATTGGTTAAGTCGCAAGTTAATAATAAGTATGGTTATTGGTTCAAGTTATACTTATAACAGTATAACTTGAACCATTGAATATTATTAACTTGCGAATTACCCAATTTTGGGTCATATTATATATTGAAAAGGAGGACAGACTTCATCGAAACGTTCATTCATAAATAATAATCGAAAATCAAGTGCGATTATTTATTTAATTTTTTACAAATTAATATAAAGAAAATAAGTTAACAAACCTAATTTCTTTGGGATAACTTACCCATTCAACAAAACCGATTATCGATTTTGTGTTTTTTATGTTCTCAACCTCATACTTCAAAATCTCTTACATCGTAACTGAGTATTTTTTCTTTTAATTCCATATCATCTTCGTCAAACTCTTCCTCAGAGTTCTCATCCACCTCATGGTCGGAAATTCCTTCCCTGAAGGTTTCCTCGTGAAGATCCTTAACGGCCGGTCCAATCACTTCATCCAGGTAGCTCTGAAGCGCTATGCACTTCTCTCGACTGTTGACGTCTCGACTAGCTCCCCATATTACTGCTCCTTTGCAACCGTAGTCTTTGGGTATCTTCAGCAAGTTCACCATGTCTTCCTGATATCGGACGAATGTGAGAAAAATCTATAATTTTAAATAAATATAATTATTTTTTATAAAATAACTTATGAAACCTTGGTTATGAACTGATGGTTGTCGTGGTACTTGTACCAGACGTAGGGGTAGACCGGCACTTCTTGAGCTACCCTCATGGCTTCCTCTAGCCTTCCTTTGATGAATCTCTGCCTCTTCGTAGAGTACATGTCATTGTACTTAAGGTATAGCGAGGGGTAATAAGCTGTTGTTTCGGAGAACAACCAATACATACTGAAAACAATCAGATTAAAAATCCTACATTTCATTTATTAATTTTTTTAAAACCAACTTTCTTTGCTAATCGATTTGAATTCTTATTTAAATTAAAAATTGCTAAATATATATATTTTTTTTTAACCTTCATCTGCACCTCTCATTAAAAGTTTGCTGAATTGATGTTACTAATATAGGCAAGAGTGAAGATAATACTCAGAAATACCTCTGGTTTACTTCTTCAAGGAAATATCTCAACGAAAGGAGATATCTCATCCAGCTCCTTTTCTATGGCCTCATGAAGGGCCTATGAACCATGGCCATGTCGTCTATAAGTATTTTGTTGTGTCCATGTGTCCATGAAATCGGTAAAGAATACGTATGTGTTGGTCGATAGTTGGTTATCGAAAGTCGATATCTAAATATTTGTTGTTTAGATACCAGAGAGCTGCTGTAATTAGTATTAAATTTTTGAACTGAAAAGAAGTTTTAGTGAGTCTTTTTCGGTGAATCGTAAATCTGTGATGCCTTTATGTCCATGTGGATTTAAGTAGATATTTGTATATATATATTATATATAGTTTTTGTTTTGATTTTTAATTTTGAATTGGAAAAAAGAGAGTGTAGTATTTTCAGTCGCATGTTTAATGTCTTTCTTTTCATTTTGACGTGTGGGCATTTGATTTTCATGGTTGTATTCATAGTTTTAGTATTTTTAGTACGTAAAAATTATGCCGATGTTTATGGATCAAAATTTTGTTTTAATCAGCGCACGTTGCAAAAACTAGAAAGAAAAAAAATCTGTTTTTATATCTTTATATGAAATGAGAAAATTATATAGTGTCTATAATAAAATAATATAGTGATACGGAGTTAAATTAAATATAGATTTAATCAAGTGATTGTAAAATGTATCAGACCATTTGTGAAAGAGGTAAATTGACAGTTGAAGGGCATTTGTATCCTGATATTACTTTCTGAAAAAAATCTGGTGCGCGCAACACACAACTTTTACTTACTCTTTGAAATTTTCTCAACTTTGAATAGAAATTATTTTCTGGCCATGTTGGACTATTATAAAAATTTTTAATTGCATTTTTAACTGAGCTAAAGCTAAAAGATTGCAGCTAACAAATCATAAATACTATTAAAATAACAAAAGTCCTATTTATTATATCACCGGTTGATTATGGATTGTACGATTCGTTGAATATGAATTGTTCGATCCGTTGATTATGGATTGTACGACTATTAGTAATTAAACAGTTATTTTCCATTGCAACGTTTATTAAAACGGAATTAAGAGATTTGCATTGTCTGTCATAGACAGGTCAAAAGTTGCCACACTAATTGTAAGTGGATTCTGTTGGAATATCGCAAAGGGAAAATTTATCAAATTATTCACCAATTTAATTTTCTAAAAGGTTACATGATGATTTTTCGGAATAAAAGGATGATGGATGATGGATACCTAAATATTTAACTATAATATCAGATCTGGAGTTATTAAACTACAGTAAATATATTTAAGGTTATAAACTCATCTATGAAATATTTTTATATTTCACTTCTTCTTTCACACAAGTACAATGAAATAGTAGTGGATACTGTTGGAATATCACAAAGAGAATATTTATAAAATTACTCACTATTTAATTTTCTAAAAAGTTACATGAAAATTTTTCGGAATAAACGTTGATACCTAATTATTTAAATATAATGTAATAATTCTTTCAAAAGTTATATTTTGCATAGTTGATTATTTAAAATAAACCATATTAAAGGTACTTTAGAGGAAGACGCATATGAACATTGGGCATTTAAGCCCTGTAAAGTGACATCAACGGGGATAAGACCTAAATGATATTAAAGACCACTTAATTATACAATGATACACCGAGTTTAATCAAAATCGTTAGACCCGTTTTTGTTTTGACCCGTTGATATAAAGTGGCACTTCCGGTTAGCTGATTTCAAAGAAAACGTTGGCAGGACATCTGAGGCATATATCTATCTTAAATATGTAATATCAGTTTCGTACGACTTTTCGGTTTCGAGCCAGAGTGTTCACATACACACAGACCATTTTTCGGGACGTGGTTATTTGGACTCAGAGGACCTCTAAATGTGTATTTCCGTTGAAAACTCAGATTAAAAAATTTTCACGATAGCTTACTATATACTTACTATACGCTTACTACAATACTTACACTTACTATATAGGTAAGTGAAAATAAAAATATTGTAAATATTGATACCTAAAAGCTCTCTAGAATAGGCAGAAATGAGAAAAATAAATATAAAGTTATAGTCAACCGTGATTTAAAACCCACCGGAACCCACAGTTCAGTGAAGTCTTCTGGTCTTAACCAGCCGAGGAAGATTTTCTATGTTTCATAGTATGATTTATTAAATGCATTCAACCCCTAACATAATATTAAAAAAAATAAAATAATAAAGAAATAGCTCTGTAACGTACTTGTCATTGTCGAGTTGTACCTCGTAGGAGCAGGCGGCCCTGTTGTTGTAGGGGGTGTAGTTGAAGCAGAAAGGGAATCCGTAGTACCCCCACTTGGCCAGTGGCCGTAGCTTCTTCCCCAGCCTCAAGGTGTCGAGAAGGAATACGCGGGCTCCCAGTTCGTAGCGGTAGGTGGCCTGCAATATTCAGTAAAGGCTTAGATAGTTAGGTAGTTGTAGTTTATTTCCATCACTACCTGTTAGTAATGCTTTAGCATAGTGTCCCTTGTAAGAAACATTCTAAACTTAAACATGGTTTTGAGAAGTTTTTAAATATTCAAAAAAAATATTCATATAAGATAAATATTATATTCATTTTTAAAATATTAATGTTACTAGCCTCCACTTCCACCATAGACGAGAACCAGAAGGGGTGCCTCCTCTTCTCGATGAGCCTGGAGAAATCTCGGTAAGGACTTAGGCTCCCCCAGTTCTGCCGCCAGACCGGACGCCAGTGTTCGAAGTCGATTATAGCCAGGCCTGAATCGTGAAAAAGATATTAAACGTCATAGAAGATATATATAAATCAAAATTGAGACTTAAATCTTGATACATACCAGACTGAAACGACAAGCAACCGCTCGACGTTTCCGATTATTTCAGCACTTACTAGATAAACGCTCTAAACTGCCAACTATTACAAAAGACTCATATACATGACTATAATAAGGCCTATCTTCATATACATGACTATAATAAGGCCTATTTGGACTTACGGAGTTGAGCTATGGGGCTCCACTAAACCATCGAATTCCTCTCGTATCCAATCCTTACAATACAAAATCCTTCCTTTGTTACAAATAAAACCATCCATAATGAACTTAATGTTTCAGATCTGGCCCAATCCAGATACCTATCCTTCCATAGTAAACTACAGAATCATTCCAACCCTCTAGTTTCTAATCTTGCTTCCTCTTCAATTCCTGATAACACTCCGAGGCGTCTGAAAAGAAGATGGCCCCGTGATCTCCTAATGTAGACATATCATCAGAGTGATACCATTGGGTAGTTACTCAGCAAGTGTTTTTACGTCATGATATCCATACGTTCAAATTTACTAAATGTATTTCTTTAATACAGTTGTAAATATCATTAAGAAAAAACAAATCTTGATATGAAATGTAAATGTCCAATCATTCTAATGAAACTGTAACTTATGTATAATTTTGATAAATATCACAAATAACATTTTTTTATGATTAAAAGACATTGCTAATAATTTCTAAATAAACAGTTTGAAAAAAAAAACATAAGAACCAAAATTTCAAACATTTAATGGTTTTGATTTACATGTATCTACTTTAAATATTTCCGCCCTCAATATTGTTTCTGTAAACGTGACATGTTTTTAAATCCAACATTAATCAGTGCCTTAGGACCGGGCAACTGGGGAAATTGTCCGTGGGCACCGACCTGAAGAGGGGTGCCCGCAACTCGTTTGAAAAAAAAAAATACATAGCGTATAAGAATGATTACTTTTGGCATATTTATAAGTCAAATGAATTAGAGCTACTATTCAACTTACCAAGAAAGAGCTCCATATTCAGTGGAGAAGTGATTGCGACAATGAAGGCCCTCTATTGGATATCGAAATCCAAAGATAAAAACGGGATCATAGCAACCGACTCCAAAAGCGTCGTGGCGGCCATTGGCAACCCATGGCCAAGCAACTCCTTTATTAGAGAAATATTAAACATATGGTGGGAGATGAGAAAAATATCTGTGAGTGTGGTCTTTATCTGGGTTCCATCCCATAGTGGCATAATGAGCAATGACAAAACAGACCAAGCTGCTCATTTGGCGAGGAAGGGAGAGGCATCAGGCATAACACCAATAAATTTCATCATCGTTGAAGATTAGATCTATGAAACAAAAGAAAAGCTATTGGAAAATTAGAGACCTAAATGGAAAATACAACGAGCCAAATTATCAGAAATAACAACCGAATGTAGTACATGGACCCCAAGCTCCAGAAAATCGAGAAGGGAAGAAATAATATTGTGCAGAATGCGAATTGGACACTGATTATTCACACAAGTATACCTTCTTTGAGGTCTAGAAGCGCCCACCTGCCAAAAGTGTGACAACACACCTCAGACAGTTAAACACTTATTACTAGAATGTCCACAATACGAAAAAAAAGAGACAAAAATTAAAGATGTCCACGACATTGAAGAATATTTTGCGAGACAGGAAGAAAGATATCATCCTTCCAATATTTAATCGAAACAAAATATTACAGCAGAATATAAGTATTGAGAATTACCGCCAATGATGAACCTAGATAGAGGCGAATTCAAATTAAAAAAAAATTAGGGACTTATTGAATGAAATAATATTCTAATTTGCTTAATATAAAACAAATTGAAAAATATTTTTTTGAATTTCATTTCTAAGGCCAGTCAGCTCAGACTTTTTATATTCAAATATTCATCAGGCGTTTTCTAAACTGATCGATATAACTATAAATGGAATTCAGCACGTTCCTTTGTTCATCGGTTGAAACACCAATGGCTCAGCGGTTTGGTACCAACCCATGGTTGATGAAAAATGACTAGTTATCAACTGGATTCGAACCGGAGACCTTGAGCTCTGTAAGTCAGTGCTCACCCACTGAGCTACCCCTCCCCCCCTCCATTCTTATTTAAATAATTCATTTTATTAACTGTGCCAATTGGTGCATTGACAATTCCTATAATCTTAAAGACAAGACTATCTCTGTAGCTTAGAAACATTTATCTAAAAGGTACTGATTGGACATATTATCAAGACTTAAGAGAAGAATAACAGATTTCAGCTCCAGGTTCCTTTCTCATGGACATCATATCGATATTAAAGGATAAGAATACCAATTCTCAATAGTTACCCTTTCTCACACAACTCATATTAAGAATATCAATTATTGAACTTCCTTTGAAGCCTTCTTCCGATTTCCCTCATACACTCTACTATTACCCTCATGGTCCCCTGTACAAATCACTCTTGTAGTTACATTCTTAAAGTTACACGCTTGCCTGCAGACCTAGATCCATGATCTTGATGTCATACACTTGTGGAAGAACTTGAGTGAACTCTTGTCATCAACCCATATATTTGTAGTATAATTCAGTACATAAGATGCTATTCTTAACTAATATATTTTTTTAAAATTTCTTTATTGAGTATTACAACAATCTGCCTCTTGGACCTTGGTTATAGTGAGGTAGGATGACATTCACCCTATATGTACAATAAAATAAAATAAAGTAAATAGAAACAAAATAATAATCAAAAGTACAATAGATAATAAAATAAAATAACCTAAAAAATAAGAAAATTAAAACTAAGCAAAAAAAAAAAAAAAAAAACACATGCATACCTATATACAATCAGGCGAGAGAACTCCAGGAGAACCCTGCGCTGAAATTATCGATGCTACTTCTAAAGTCCCCACTGTATACAATTCGTCAAAAATTGAAATTCTAGTTTAATAATCTTGCCAATGGTTAAAATGTGATTCCTCATATCAACTTTACTTTAAAGTACAGGCGGAATATCCAATATAACATAAATATTATAATAGCAGCTCATAGATTATAGTCTTATTATAACCTCAGTAGTCTCATTCATTCTATGGACATAGAGAAATTGCTCATAATAGAAAATAGACTAATATTAACTTAATAAGGTTGGAAGATCTAGGAAGTAAGTAGGACTGGCTCTATTAGAGAGAACTCTTTTGTACAAGTGAAAGTTTTGATCGATTATAACAACCTCTACCGGGAGTTTACTAAAAAGTTGCGCCCTGCAATAATCAGAGTCGGTGGTGTCCTAACTAAGAAATAAATATTAACTGACACATTGTTTTTAGTTTAACACTAACTATCAGTGATAAAATATTAATTGATCTTGCAAACCTTATTAACGATAACGTTATTAGCACTTACCACTGAAATTGACGTTTGGTATCAGCTTTTCCAGGTGACCCTGGAAGAGACTAAGATGCCTGGTGAGGCTGCCCTCTTGTGGTACCCCTCCATTCCTCTGTATCCTCCGCCCACCCGAAGCCGGTAGCAGGGCTGGGAACTCGCCTGGGTCGTAGAGGATGGCGATCTCTTCACCACGGAATTCGTCCTGGTAGTTCTGCTGCAGTCCCCAGTCCTTGACGCGGCTGAAGTTGAGGCCGTACTTGTGGCACTGGAAGGTCGGCACGTTCCAGTAAACTGGAAATATGTACTCTTTCGGCTCCTCTAAAGATCTGCCGAAAAAGTAACGTATAAATGTTAATACAAAGCAATACCAGTCAACATAGAGGGATGGACACAAAAACTATTTAAAATGTGAATTTTTTATTTTTATTTTCCGATTATTGGCTCTAATATTCTAACAAAAGACACTCCTAAACGAATTGGTTTCCACAATAACTCCTAAACTCTATAGACTGTTGAAATTGTCGACATTCAACATTCTTCAGAAAATAAAATTGACCTTCACAGCTTAAATATCATAGCTACTATTATAGTAGAGTATGTCAAGGAAGTCTTTTCACAAAAGGTGATAAATGTTTCATAATACCATTAATTGATAGGGAAAAGTTAGTCGTTTATGTTAAAAACAAATAATCAATGGTGCAAAATGAAGAACTGATATGAGGCAAACAAATTACTAGAAATGATTATTTTATTGAAATGTACTATCGTAGCTTTATGATGTACATGCAAGTATATTGAATCAAGATAGGTTTTAGCAATTATGATAAAAAATGTTATTAATCTGGATAATTTATATTTACAGTTGTGAATATTATTATTATTCCATAACATTGTTTCGTCCATTAGTTTGAAATAAAATCCATAAGTGGTTTAATTTATCACGAAGTGACTGTAATATAAATACTATATTTGTAAGATATACAAATTGAATGTGAGCTGGATACATAGTAGGCAGTTAACATTATGAGGATGATAAATGCTCACAATTTACAGTCTTTATATCGTTGATGAAGGCTTTCTCCCGTTTAGACCCAAACGTGGGCCATCATCAGAGCTAAAAATTAGAAAATGACATCAGAACAATGAGATATAGAATGAAGTATCTCAACAAGAAAAGATAAAAAGTACATATGGAATAAAGGCCATTTGAATATAAAAGTAATATAAACATAACATTTTACCAAAAATATTAAACCAATAAGTCTACATAAGTTACAAATAAATTAACTAAATGATTAGAGCAAATAAATAAATAGGAAATAGGAAAAAAAATAACCACAGGGCTAGGAATAATATAAAACAACATAAAAAATAATTGAAATACAATAGGCAACTTAATACGGTAAGATTTAGTGATAAAAAGTAAATGAATAAAGATGTGAAGTGACAGGTGGAGATAAAAGTATAGAAATAAAAAATAAATAATATAAATAGAAGGTTAACAATTGCCGATGGTAGTCTATTCGTACTAGTAAAATAAATATGAATAAATACTATGACAAGAAAAAAATCAAATATTAATATATTAATTAAATGATAGTACAAATAAATAAACAAGTGGTAGGAAATAAAATACATAGTTAAGAATACTGAGGTAATGTTTTTTTATTATATAAATAATTGCAATGCGAATATATATGTTGGGCAACGAACGGCATCAACATTATTAAAATAAAAAATAACTAATATAAAGAGTAGACTAACAATTACCAATGGTAGTCTATTGTTACCAAGACTAGTCTATTGTATTCCAATTTTTTTTTATAATTCTAAAAGTTCGTCTTGAATACTCTTAGCTCTGTTATTTTTTGCATATCTCATATTTATTTAATGTAATTGGGTATTAATTTTATATGATTTATATTAATCAATTAATTTATTTATTTGTATTTTTACGTACATATTTTTACTTTCGCTTATCTATATATGCGATATATACTAAGGGTAAGTATTGCGATCGTGAAAATTTGCGAGTCTGAGTTTTCAACGGAAATACATATTTTGAGATCTCCTGAGTCCAAATAACGAAGTCCAGTAAAATGGTGTATGTGTGTGTGTGTATGTATGTTATCTGTCTAGCTAAAAAAAGAAAAGTAGTATGGAAGCGAAATTTCATATTTAAGGTTATTATAAGCTTTTGATGTTACAGCAACATTTACGTCAAAATTAGCAAACTGCAAGCGATACTTATATTATCGGTTTAACACATTTTTACGATTTTATCTTACTTTTTTACGATATTAAGCAGTTTTTAGTATAAAACAGGTTTTATTCTTATTGATGTTCTCTACCAGGGCTTAAATGGATAATTTTCAATATTTGCTTCCTCTAAAGTATTTTTTTTTTAATTTGAAATAACAACCATTTCACATTGATATAAAAAATAGTTAAATATAAAGTATGAAAGAATTTGATAACTAACTAAAGAAGAAATAAGAGCTCGTAACGGATAATACTTGTAATAGAGGAATCAAAAGAATACGAGCTGGCCCGAGCTCGCCCGAAAGATTATAACAGGATTCCATACATAACCTAAGCTTCATATAGTACGGACTCCGACAATATTATGTTCATTTACATATTTAATTGTATAGAATACAGCGATATGAAAATTAAAATATATATATATATATATATATATATATATATATATATATATATATATATATATATATATATATATATATTACTAATACTGTACTGATACAAGGAGACGTATCTGAAGACTTTGAAGTTCTAACGGGTTTGAGGCAGGGAGATGGACTCTCGCCGATGCTGTTCAACTTAGCACTAGAGAATGTAATAAGAATAACATCATGCCAAGATGGAGGGGTGCACGTTGGAATGAAATATAAATGCTTAGAATATGCGGATGATATAGCTGTCCTCGGAAGTAATAAAGAGGATATTGAGAGACTCGTTCGGACTCTTTTAAAAGAAGCAGAGCAAATCGGACTACAGGTCGATGTAGATAAAACAAAAGACGTAATAGTTAGCCGAAACATCCACCCTAATAACATGATCTGCGAGGATTCTAAGTTATTCCCGAAAGTAGACAGATTCAAATACCTCGGCTCCACAATAACCTCAATTAATGATCAACTAACAGAGATAGACCAGCGAATAACAAGTGCGAACAGATCTTTCTTCTCTCTTTCAAAGGTACTGAAATCCAGAAAAATCTCCAGAAATCTCAAAATAAGGGTGTACAACGCCGTGATTAAGCCAGTTCTGCTGTACGGTTGTGAAACCTGGGCTCTAACCGGCACATTAGAAGCCAGAATTGAGAGATTCGAAAGAAAAGTTCTACGTAGGATAACAGGACCTATATGGGACCAGAACCTTGACACATGGAGGAGAAGGAACAATAAAGAACTGCTGAAAGAAACGGGTCAGTCAATATCTCATGACATGAAGGCAAGGAGGTTAAGATGGGCAGGGCATGTAGCGCGTAGTAATCAGGACGCCTATACACAACAATGAATGCCAGAGTAGTAGGCAAGAGACCACGTGGGAGGCCAAAAATGGATAGATAGGATAAACAAAGACACGGCTGAGCTGCATGCAGCAAACTGTCCGTCAAGGTCTGTAGAGCCAACCGAAAAAAAAAAAAAAGTTATATATATATATATATATATACAAGGATATTTAAACAAATAAAAATACTCACAATGAATTATAAATATATAGAGTGTCAATAATTTTTATTTTCACTTCCTTGTTTAAAAATACTCATTACTGCTAAGAGGGTGGTAAGTGAAAATCGTGTGATGCGCACACCAGATTTATTTTCTTGCCATGCTACTATGTTTATATTACTTATATGTCCAAATTACCATTATACTTTCCAACATTTTAACGTCATATTTAAATACTGTATTCTATATACATATTCCATTTTTCAGAGTAAGTTTTTGATTTCTAGCCATGACGATGACCTACATACTTGGGTCAAATCGTCCGAAAGCCCACTAAATCATATATTCTATACACCCTGATTATTTAATATAATCAAAAATTAACTTTCTGTTTGCAGAACAGGGAGGCCCAAGTAGCCATCAGGCTATCTCCCATCAGGAAGAATAAGACGTTATCCAGGAGATCGGGCGAGGAAGCGATGTGAACCGGTTAAGGTCGCTCCCCGTCCTTGACTAGCGGCTCCAATCCTCCTTCCTACCTCCGGGCAAGGTGCTCCTTTATGAATGCCTTTAATAGGGCATTGTGCCGTTGTTGTTGTCGTTGCTGTTGATTATCAACGCATTTCCTAATCATTATGCAACTCGGAGCAATTATTTAGCTGCAGTCACGCAGGAGGCAATCTTCAATGAACCGTCTCTTTTATCAGCGATGCATTACGACATTGTTCAAGGCAGAAAATTATCCTCTTTTTTTTGGTTCGTTTTATTTCTTTGGCTTGTTTACTTCACATTTTTCAACATTTGTTTTTCAAAACAAACATTTAAACTTTTTATTAGTAGCAGTAAGCAAATCAAATATTTTTAAATAAATGCTATTATTCGGTAAAAACTCAGTGTCCATCTCGTGCATTTAATAAAATAAATTTATGAAATGAAATGAAAAAATAATTTTATTGTGGAACCACAGTCCACTAAGTATAAGTACGGAGTTCCAAAATTATGAACTTTTGTCTGGCTTGGATGAATAAAAAATAGTATTTGGTTAACTGATAATTGCAATTGCACCGTTAATTAAATTATACAGTGAACAAAAGCAAGCCAATTTTACATGGTTACGAAAGTTTTAATACGAAGGAGGTAGCGATTGAAGGATATGTGGTGAATGAATAGAAGGTGTTTGAATGAATTGGTGACCGAGGATTAACGTACGGAGGTAAATAAAGAGTTCCAAAAAGAGGTAGCACAAATGATGAAGAGTTTTCTGAAGGAAGTAGTTTTATGGGAAGAGATATATAGAATAATAGGTTGAGATCTGGTATCAATAGAGTGGGCAGAGTACGTTGAGTAAGAGCTTCTAGGATGTAGGGATGTGTGTAGTAATGCAGGAATGAATGTAGCAACCACAACTCAATTTGCCAATCAATTAAACACTGGAAAAGTTCATTCATTTTGTATTAAGATTTTTTAAATGGATTGGTTAAGTTAACAGCTGCTAAAAGAGAATAAGTGATTAAGAAACAGCAAATGAATGGTTAGCAAACCAAGTTTAACATTTTGTTTTAATGGTGATAGACAATTTTTACTACAGAGGATTCATTAATGACGTACCTCATAAAGCAATTCATTGC